AAAACAAAGAAGTTACGCTGTTTTCTATAGGTTTGTAACCAGTTTAAACTTCCATTCTTATTCTTAGCATGAAAGTTCTAGTTTTTGCCACATCCATGCCAACACTAAATAATCGTCAGTGGTTTCATCTTAATCATTCTGATAGTATGTACTAGTTTTTATTTTTATTTTTCTCGCAAGGAATAATGTTGACTATTTTTTAAAACTTTTCATTTGGTTAAAATGGTATCTTTTGTGCCTGCTCAGGTCTTTTGCTCATTTTTCAATTAGGTTATCTTGCACACCTGTAATCCCAGAGCTGGGGAAGTGGAGACAGGAGGCTCAGGAGTTCAGGTTTGGCATCAGCTACGTAGCATGCTTGAATCTAGCCTGGACTACATGAGTCTCTGTCTCAAAACAAAAGCATATATTTATGGTTTATACACATATATAGTTTATATATATATACTATAAAGTCTTTGTCAGAGGTATAATTTGCAGTTCATGATAACTTGTGGCTTGCTTTTTTACCTATTTTTTGATGAGTGTTCATTTTAATTTACTATATTTTTTCAATTTTACTTTATGATTATTTAATAACCTTTTATGAAATATTTTCCTATCTCAGGTCTTGAAGATGCTCCCATGTTTTTCTCCAAAACCTTTATGTGATTGATTGTTTCTTTCTAATTTGTATATATAATTCAGCTCAATTTTTTTATATAAGTTGGGGTAAAAATTTTTTTATTCAGATGAGCAATTAACAGAAACCTTTCTCCACAATCCTAAACTTTTAATATAATGACAGAACTTTGAAATGCACAAAGCAAAAACTACAGTAGATAGATAAATACTTTACTGTGAGGATTTCCTCCCTTAATTGGTAGAATAGAAAATAAAAAAAGATTATTAGAGAATTTGAACAATACTGTCAACTTACTTGACATTTGCAGAGCGCCTCACCCAACAACAGAGAGCACATGCAGAGCATTGCCAATAAACCATTAAAAATGCTCAAATTTACAAAGAATAAAACTAGAAACCAATAATAGATGTCCAGAAAAATTCAATGTTTCAAAATAACATTTCTAAGAAACTCAGGTCAAAGAAGAACTATAAAGAGAAATTGAAACATAGTACATACTGAATAAAATATTCTTATAATGTGAATTTTTCATTATATGAAATAATTTTGCCTTGTTGATGTGACTCACTTTGGGTTATAATATATTTTTATGTCTTTAGATCTAATTTGCTAATATTTTTCTTAAGATATTTATGCTGAGGAGTTCATTCACTGAGCAAAAATGATCTTTAATTTTCCTTTTCTACCATGCAACAACTGAATTTCAGAGACAACTCTGTCTCGTAGTTATGACTTTTAACTTATTTTTATTTTTAATAATGGTAAAATACATAAAATCTACTCTCAACCTTATTTATTTATAGTTTAAAATTTTTTATTTATTATTTTTATTTTATATGTATGCGTGTATTGCCTGCATGTAGGTAAGTGCACCCGTGTTGTGCAGTGCCCACAGAGGTCAGAAGAGGCTGTCAGATCCCCTGGGATTGGAGTTATGGACAGTTGCTAGCTGTCATGTGGGTGCTGGGATTCAAACCTAGGTTCTCTGTAAGAACAACCAGTGTTTGCAACCGCTGAGCCATCTCTCCAGCCCCTATTTATAGTTTTTGAGACAGAGTTTCACATAACCTAGGCTGGCCTCAAGCTCATTTTGTGGTTGTGGCTGCCCTTGAGCTCCTGATTTTCTTGTTTCTACCTCCCGCATGCTGGTATTATAGGATTGTGCAACCACACTCGACTTAATGTCTTAAGTATAACGCTGTTAATGATGTTAAGTATAGTTACATATTTGTTCAATTTGTCTCCAGAACCTTATCTTAGAAAACTGAAACTCTATACTCCTTATAAACCAACTCCCTAGTACCCTTGGCCTGGTCTGTGTCAGCCCTCAGTCTACTTTCTGTTTCTAGGAATTTGACTACTGTAGATCTCTTAAACAGTGAAGTCATCAGAGTATTTGTGGCTAGATTGTTTAATTCAGTATAACAGTTCTCAAGTTCATCAGTAGTGTAGCATATGTCAAAATCTCCTTCCTTTTTTAGACTGAATAATATTCCATTACATGTATGTACCACATTGTGCTTATCCATTCACCCATCAGTAAACACTTACTTTAGCTATTTTCAATATTGGTGCTATGAACATAGACGTACAAATAATTTCTTTGGGACTTTGGATTCATATATAATGTTATTAAATTTGTTTTTAGATATTTCACAGATGTACACAGTGCATACTGACACTCTCCATTCCCTACCATGCCTGTAAAACCCACTCCTCCCTGCAAATCGCTCTCATGTTCATGTCTATGTGTTTTGGTTTGCGACTCACTGCGTTTTCTCAGGGCTGTTTCTGTGGTCAGGGGTTAAGAGTTGTCCTTGGAACCTGGTGGGCTCAGCAGTAAGGTACCCAACTGGAAATGATGATTATATCAGATATTTTAAGGAGTTGTTGTTTAAATTATCCCTCAGTTTTGATTTATCTGGTAGTTGCATCATGTTAGATAAAGGTTAAACGTTTTGGATGTGAATATCAACACAGACAGTGTATTTTTTTGTACAGTGTGTCTGCAGGAGCATCATGTCAATTGATAGTATTTCCTGTTTGGGGGGGTGGTCTTTTTGAGACAGGGTCTCTCTGTAGCCCCAGCTGGCCTGAACTTACTATGTAGACCAGGCTGGCCTTGAACTCCTGCCTCTGCCTCCCGAGTGCTGGGATTAAAGGCATGGGACACCACGCCTAGCAATTGATAGTATTTTCAATTTGCCATTTTATAGTTTCCCCTTTTACCCCAAAAGTAGTCTAATAGATTTAAAAAATGTTCTGGTGGCACAAACTTTTTGGCTTTTCATCGCTTTTAATTTCTAGTTTTATTGTACAGAAATAAGGCAATATTATTCATATTTCTGTTTTATAGAATTTAATTATTTTATTTCTGATAATTTCCATGTGTATTTTGTGTAAATTCAAAAGGTAGTGAGTGTATCCTCTTCAGAGTACAAGTTTGATAGCTGTCTGGAAGATCTACCTTCTTGGTTGCTTGGTTAGATCGTATTTCCTTATTTTTTTAATCTATATTTCTTTCATTGCTAAAAATACTGAACATTTTTCCATGTTACTTGGTCATTTTTACTTCTTTTAACAAATGCTTTTTCAGTTCATCTGCTCATTTAAGAACTGGATTGTTAGTGAAGTATAATTTAGTTTTTAGTATTTCTTTTTTGTATATTTTTATTGAACTTTTTGTGTATTTCATACAAAACATCTTAGTCATCTTTAGACCTCCTCCCCTGTCTGTACCTCCCGCAGCCTCCCCCACCAGATTTCATGCATTTTGTCCTTTATATTCAGGCCTATCAGTCAGCTTAGAGTCCCCAGACGTCCCACAGTGTGAGTTCATCCACTGAGGTCTGGTCAGCCTGTCCAGAGTCTCGACCTTAGAAAAGATCAGCTCTCCTTTACCCAGCAGTAAACAGCTGCCACCAGTTCTTTGGCTAAGGTTGGGGCCTGCTGGTGTTTTTGTCTGCTTTCCTTACTATTTTTTTTTGGTCAGTTTTTCTCTTGGAATAAGAACCATGATACATGAAAATTTATTACTAAGTTTCTGTATGCTTCTCTTTTCACCTTAAGGAGTAATTGCTATGTGATTTGACAAGTAAGTATTAACATCTTCATCTTTCTGCTAATTCTAAAAGTCAGGAAGTATTTCATTTCTGTCACAATCACCAACATTATCTTTGAATTTTCCTTTCCTGGTATCTGTTCCAGACCTGGTATCTTTACCACCTACATACTAGCTGTGACAACCTGTGAAACTTAATTTACTTTCCCTTCCTCCATTCTGTTCCAGTGCTTAAATTTTGCAGTATTTCTACTTTTTAAAGAAAACATAGCATAAATCATTTTTCTTTCCTTATCCATACTGACATTTTAATTTTAATGAAATAACCCCCCATGCATACTCTCAGTCTTGTATGTGTGTGTGTGTTTGTCAATCCGTATTTTTAAAATCCATTTACTATTTGTATGTGTGGAGTACCACAGTATGCTATGGGGGCAGGACAACTTGTGGGAGCAGCTGTTTCCTTCCACATGCGGGTAGCAGGGGTTGAATTCTGGCCATCAGGATTGGCAACAAGGGCCTACCCACCTCTACCTGCTGAGCCATCTCACAGCCCCTATCAGTCTTTTTTACTGATTTCCTCATAGTCTGGTTATTTGCTTATCTCAATAAATTCTTCAGGAAAGACTTATATTACTGTGATTACTGAGTTTTCAGGCATTCAAAACTTTTAAAATACTTAAATGATAATTTAAAGGCTATCCTTTCAGGGGTAATTTCTATATTTTTTAAATGGTAATTTCGCTGGCTAGGAAATGTTCAATTTTCCTTTGAGTTTAAAAAAAAAGGTTTGCTCTCCTATTATCTTGCTTTTTATACTGCCATTGAGAAATCTATTTGTGAATTCAACCTGCTTTTCTTGCTCTTGCTTGCTTTCTATTTTGTTCATTCTATATAGCCCACACTGACCTTGAACTCGGGAGCCTTGGACCTCCGCCTACTGAGTGCTTAGAGTACAGAGAACGTGTTGCCTGACTGGTTTTTGCTCTCCCTTTTTCTCCCTCCCAAACCCAGGCCAGGCAAGTGCTGTACCATTGCACTGCACCTCAGCCCTGACTTTCGTTTTTTTGACTTGGAGATTAACTGTTCTGGGTCAATTTTCACTATATGCTTATATTTTTTGACATAAAGGGTCAAATCTATCACTTGGGGATAACTTACAATGCGTAGCATTTGTTCTCTTTTGTAGGGAACCTCCTTTATGCACATGCCGTAACTTCTTTGTTTTATAATCAGCTATTTTCTCTCATCCTTTTACAGTTCACGTTGTTGCCTCTCCTAGCTGTTTTCATACTTTAGTACTCTTTGTTAAGTGTTCTTTTGAGTCTGGTTTTCTTTGGGCACCTTATAATTTGATTTATATTTTTGAAATTGCATTTTCTACAGATTATTTTTGATCTTGGCCAGCTTATACAGTGTCTTCCAGGTTTTTTGTTGATTTTGTTTTGATTTGGGGGATTTATGATTTATGTACTCTTTGAACATATCCTGCAAAAGCTGAGCATGGTGGCACCCTTGTAACTCTAGCAGTCCAGAAGCTAAAGCAGGAAGACCATAAGCTCCAGGCCAGTCTGAGCCACATAGTATGACCCTTTCTCAAAAACAGAGGTGGTGGGGAGATGGCCATTGGGTAAAATACAAGCATAAGGACCCTGAGTCCAGATCCTCGGAATCCACGTAAAAAGCTGCATGATGCTTTGAATCTGTAACACCACCGTTGGTTGTGCAGAGACAGGCAGGTCTCTGGAGGTCGCTGGCCAGCCAGTGTAATCTAATTAGTCAGTTCCAGATTCAGAAAGAGACCCTGTCTCAAAAACTAAGGTGGAGAGCAACTGAGGAAGAGTCCATATGTCAACCTCTGCCCTCCACATGCATATGCACATGTACCTGCACTCACACACAGACATGCATACACACCAAATACATAGGAACAAACAAGTGCTGTACACAAATACTAATTTTTAAAATATTTAATTTAGATTGGAGCATCGTGGTACAGTTTTCTTTTGTTATGTTAGGGGAGAGTTTATACTAACTGAAATGTTCTGATTCTCATTTTGTATTTTATTCTTCAAATATAGATTTCTTTTCCCTTCTGTTCTTTTTCCCTTTACTTGGATAAGTGTGAATTTTTATGGGTTAGTACACAGAAGTGAAGCTATGTAATTTCAAGGACATGGTATTTTGATAGAATACTTACACTCTGCCTTGTTTTCAGTCACTGACTTCTCACTGCAGAGAAGCATGTGCACCTCCTGATACTCTCATTCAGAGTTCTTCTCTAGCATCTTTACTTTCCCTTCTTTATTTACCTCCACTTAAAAAAAAATCCCCTCTGCACAAGTAGAGCTTCCTTAAAACTTAACTGGAGGCCAGCCTGGTCTACATAGTGAGTTCCAGGACAGCTGGGGCTCAGGGAGATCCTGTCTCAAAAAAAAAAAGCATTCCAAACACTGGAGAGATGGCTCAGTAGTTAAGAACACTGGCTGCTCTTCCAGAGGACCTTGGTTTGATTCCCAGCACACACGAAGGAATAAACGAACAAATTTAGCTGCATGGATCCTGAATGACTTCAGATGGTTCCCTTCTGACTCCCAGTGACTCACTTTGATAGCCCAGATCTTAGATCTGTTTTTAGTATTTTTACAAAAGAGATGTTCTCTTTGTGGGGTAGGTGTGTTTCATCTTTGTTTTGTCAGCCCCAGGCTATCCTGCCTCTCTTTTTTTCCTTTTTGAAGCTCCACATTTTTGCTTATTACCACAGGCATAGGCTTGGTATTTGAGTCTCCCTACATTTGAATGGTTTTCATCCTTACAGCTAACTTAAACTTTATATTATGTGTCTTTATACTATATGTCCCAGTTTGCTTAAGATTTAGGTTGTAAGCATTTTTTTTCTTACGTTGTTAATCTCGTTGGATGTATGCGTATTTATTTATTTTGCAGGAAACATGTTGATATTCAAGATTTTGACAACTGCCATTGATTTCTAAATGTGGAAACTATACTTTTCAGTTTTGAAAAATTATTTTCATGTACACAGACACAAACACACATACACAAATACACACACACAGAGGGTCTTGTCTTACTGGGGCCTTCCATCTTACCCCCACCCCCAGCTTTCCTTTTCCCAAGTGGCATCTACTGATTTTCTGGTATTTTCATTTGTATTTCCTATAAGCAGGACTGTTGGAATGTCATCAGACAGTCCTTCCCATCCGATCCCTGCTGGCTACCATTATGCTTAAGAGCTAAGGCTTCCTATCTTGAGTTCTCAACTTTAATCTTTCTGTGATATTTTTATTTAAACCTTCTGCATCAGGGAGCCCAGATCTAATCCTAGGTTTGGTGATTTGCTAGGAAGACTAACAAACTCTTGTATATAGTATACAATTTTACTGTCACTAAGATTTACTACAGAAAAAGAAAACAAAACCAAATCAACAAAGGGAAAGGGCACAGGGATCCAAGTCCAGAGGAAACCAGGTGCAGGCATCTTACAGTCCTCTCGAGGTGTGGTCTCATGATGCCTTGATTTCTCTGCCAGTGAGTTGTGACACTACATGTGAAATCTTATCTCAGAGGCACTCATTAGTAATTCTGTGTGTAGGGTTTTTGAATTTTTATTTTATTTTATTTCAGGCTTGTTCATATAGGTACCTTCTGTCTAATATATATATA